CGGCCACCTAGGCCCAAAGACTTGTGGAAGCCCAATCAGCCCTAGGTTGACCTAAACCTAGGACTGGCACGCATCCCAAGACTATAAATACATTTACTAATCCTCATTAAAGGGGAGGACACCAATTAATTACTCTCACCTAGAGAAAACACTTAACCTTTTTTCCGCATTTATTACTCCTAAAGCAAGTACTAACTTGATCGTCGGAGGCGGAACTCCAACCACCTGGAGTCTCCGTTGTTTTGCAGGTACATGCGCACAGTCCCAGTCTCGGAATTGTAACTCTCCCGCAGTTATCAGAAAACCCCGAAACACTAGCGATTGCTGCATATTACGATTATGAAATATGGCAAATGGATGTCAAAACCGCCTTCCTAAATGGAATTTTGGAAGAAACTGTGTATATGACACAGCCAGAAGGTTTTTTCGATCCAGGCAACGCTGGAAAGGTTTGCAAGCTGAAGAAGTCCATTTATGGACTAAAGCAAGCCAGCAGAAGTTGGAATCTGCAATTTGATGAAGCCATTAGCAAGTTTGGTTTTATCAAGAATCTAGATGAATCGTGTGTATACAAGAAGGTCAGTGGGAGTGATATTGCATTCCTAGTCCTGTATGTCGATGACATACTTCTCATTGGAAACAACACAAAATTACTGGAGTCCGTAAAGGGCTGGTTGGGAAAGTGTTTTCAATGAAGACTTAGGAGAGGCACAATACATATTGGGCATCAAGATCTACAGAGATAGATCTAAAAGGATGATTGGATTAAGCCAGAGTACTTACGTTGATAAGGTATTGGCTCGATTCAACATGGAGAATGCCAAGAGAGGGCACTTATCCATGTCCCATGGCATAACTCTCAGCAAGAAACAGTGTCCACAAACACCTGTTGAGTGAGAAAGAATGAATTAGATCCCATATGCTTCGCTGATCGGATCGATCATGTATGCCATGATATGTACAAGGCCAGATGTATCGTATGCCCTGAGTGCAACGAGCCGATACCAATCGAACCAAGGAGAGGCGCATTGGACTGCGGCCAAGAATATCCTAAAGTACCTTAAAAGGAACAAGGATAAGTTCCTGGTGTATGGAGGCCACAAAGAACTGGTTGTTGAAGGTTACACCGACGCTAGCTTCCAAACTGACAGAGACGACTTTAAGTTACAGCCGGGGTACATATTTTGTCTGAATGGAGGAGCGTTTAGCTGGAAGAGTGCCAAGAAGAGCACCACTGCAGACTCTACAACTGAAGCCGAGTACTTGGCCGCTTCAAAAGCTGCCAAGGAAGCTGTTTGGATTCGCAAGTTCATCAGCGAACTTGATGTTGTACCCTCAATCAAGGGGCCGATAGACCTCTATTGTGATAAAATTGGAGCTACCGCTCAGGCCAGGGAGCCCTGAGAACACCAGAAGTTCAAACACGTGCAAAGGCGATTTCACATGATAAGGGAATGGAAATCCGAAGGTGAAATCAGAATTTGTAAGATTGGCACAGATGATAATGTGGCCGATCCCTTGACTAAACCGCTGCCTCAGGTGAAACACAACAAGCACATTGAGGCGATGGGAATCAAGCATGTTGGAAACTTGCTTTGAAATTCCCTGTACATGTGTTTTAATTAAATTGGTAGTTTTAATGTAAGACACTGTATTGAAACCATTCATTTATGGAGTAATGGATTTTTGTGCAAAATTATCATTCACTCCATTACTATTTAATTGTGGTTTAGAATTAAATAATGAGTCCATTCGATTTACGGAAATATTCAAAACAGGGTATCAAGACCATGTCTTGGATAAAGAAACACCTGTTAAGTGAACATTGAATATTTAAATCGAAAATTGTCCCTAATCGAGGTCATCTAACAGATGGACGATTGATGATCGCCATAGATTAGTGTGTAGTATGATTTACAGCACCGTTTCTTGTGCTGCTAGGACGTGACAGTCATAAATAATTTGCACGGGTACAATTTGGAACTGTACTGGATAAGACCTATGAGAGTACTTTAAGAAATTTCAAAATTGTCATAAGTACATTTCTCATTATGACTATCGAAACCTGTTTCCTCCGACCATGAGTATTGTGAAGTTTTCTTGTTTGAGTACTAGACTCTTTGATGTTTCCTAACGTCTACCGTAACTGGGGATCATAACGGGAACACTCGAGAGACTAAGTCCTCTTAGTAAGATGAACTTACAATGCAAGACTGGGATTGTCCCCCTATTAACAATAAGGAAAATGTTTTGTTGTTTACAAGGCCGCTCGAAGAGCGAGACTGTGAAAATGCATGGCCGTGCTCAGATGGATTTTAGAAATCATCTGCTTATTGACAGTCGAACTCGAAGATCGAGAAACACTTCTGAACGTAATAAGGATGACAATGAATCTTACCTTATAGTTCACGAAGAAACATTAAGAGACATAGGAAATGGGATATACACTGTATGCACACTTGTCCGGAAGGACAAGTGGGAGATTAAAAGGAATGGTGTCCTTCCAACAAGTGTATTCTTCCGATAAAGGGTTCAGAATTATTACAGAGTTAATTCTTCAGTAAGATCAAGTGATCGGAATGCCTAGGTGGAGGCCGCTTCCGATCAGTAATATCGAGGTATAATTGATATTACAGCTTAATCTTAACTGAACCCTTCGGGTCGAACCCTATCGAATCACCGATCCGAGACGACGAATTAATCCGAAAAGATTTAATGAGTCGACAGAGTTTTACGAATATAGACGTCGGAAATCGAGCCTAGGGCGTCGAGACCGAGCGTCGCAAAATCACAAAGCGACAAGTATAAAAATAGCCCTAGCACCACACTGGCCTAGCCATGTGGATGCTAGGCTAGTTCAAGCTAGCATGCACCTAGCATGGCTAGGTGCAAGCCTAAGCACACTAGGTGTGATAGCCGGACCATCGCCGCCTAGGCGCACCATCGTTGGCCTATCGCAAGCAACAAACAAACCAAGAGTACCTGGTAGCCTATCGCAAGCACTAGGCAGCCCATCGCATCATCGCAGCACAAGCACAGCATCATCGCATGGCTAGGCCAATGCGTGTGTGCGTGTGCTTGTGCCTTATCCAATCGCATCAACATAGCAAGCATGCCTGCGCACATGCGTGTCTTTGCATGGCACTGCATCGCAGCATGCGTTCCTGGGTGCTAGGCACCATCGTAGGCCCCTCGCACAAGCACAACACCATGGTAGGCCTTGTGTGCGTGTGCGAGCAACGCATAGCAGCAACAACATGCGAGTGGTGCGAGGTTGATGCGTGTGACTGGCAAGGCAAGGGGCCAGCATGCGTGGCTCGCTAGTAGCACGCATTCTGCTGTGCTAGCAATGGTGCGAGGTTAGTGCGTGATGCGTGGTGCATGTTGCAAGGCTGATGCGTGGTGCGAGGTACAAGGCTGGTGCGTGGTGCGAGGTTGGTGCATGCTATGCAAGGAATGTGCGCCAACCAGTGCGTGGGCTGCTGAGGTTAGCACCAGCACAATGTGCTAGCAACACTAGGCGCCAGCACACAGCACCAGCGCCAGCATTGCCCAGCAAGCATTGGCTGGCTGGGATGCTGCTGGGCAGTGCTAGCTGGCAGCGCTAGCTGGCACGCTAGCTGGCTGCCAGCCTAGAAGCCATATGGCGATTGTGAGGAAGCTTGTGGGGACCAGTCAAGGGCCTTGGGGAGCAAGGCATATGGTCCCCCACCTAACCTTGGCCACCACTCTTTTGCATGAGATCATGCCACTTGTCACAATGTGATTAAGTTGATTATTTATTTAATTTGGAATTAAATAAATCATTGATTTTTCAACTCTCCCACATTGATGGGAGATTGAAAACCAAGGACCCATTTCCCTATAAATACCCTTCAAGGGTGTTGGGAAAAGCACAACCTTGAGTGGAATTAAAAAGGTAACTCTCATAATTAGAGTAAACCTTTGATTCGTAAAACTCATAGTTTTGTTTTGTCCGGGTCTTGACTAACCTTCAAGACTTAGGACGCTCGGGTCGGGTCGAGGGTACGATCCGTCGGAGATCTCGTGGTTTCGGGATTTTGAAGTAAGAGCTCTTTGGGAGCGAAGTACGCAACAAAGGCATAATTCTTGTTCTTAGTCTTGTTTGATTAAGTTTATTATGCTTGTTAATTGCTTTAATTAAGGGGCGGGTCTTGGGGGATTTCCTTCCGCGTAGTGTCGGGTCACTACGAAAGCCTACAACTTGGGAGGGACCCTATGAAATTTATGATGAACTTCAGCCTGGAGCATACCAACTTCGGCAGTTGGATGGAACTAAGCTAAAGAATCACTTGAACGCAGATGTACTTAAGAAATATCATGTGTAAGCTCTTCGGGGAAGAATTATCTATGTAAGTGCATTTATTTGAATTAATGAAAGGCCTTTGAGCCACCATTTCTATAAATTTAGCAAGTTTCCATTTTTCTGTCTTTTACATTTTCTGAAAAAGAGGTTTCCCCTTCGACACCGTCCGAAGTATAGCCCAGCAGAGGCATTGTACTTCGGATTGGCGTCAAACCTGCTAAACAAGGAACAATGATTTCACCCCCGAAGTATCACCCACCAGCGACGATTTACTTTAGATAAATCAGTTCCTTGGAGTAAATTAAAGAGGTCGTGGACGAATCTGAAGCATAGCCTAAACATTGGCATTGTGCTTCAGAGGAGTTATATCCGAGGCATTGCCAGAATGATGGCCTTGTGTTTCGGATAGCCATTCCCTCGGATGAATTTTAAGAATCGAGAGAATATTGCTCTCGGAGTCTAAGACTTCTGAGCAACGAACTCATAGATTCTTCAAAAAAACAGAAGAAGAAGAGAAAGAAAAGAGCAGAAACTTCAAAATCAAAATTATTACAAAAATTTTGCCAAGGCAGAGCCTCGGCTGTATTGAAAAAGTTAAAGCAAGTACCTCAGAAACTTGAAGATTACAACTTAGATTTGGGGGGGGGGGGGGGGCAAGAAGTCCTCAGCTAAATAATAATTCCAAGCCGAAGCTCAACACTTAGAAATTTTTTGCAAAATTCAAAGAAAAAGCTAAGTAAAGAGAATAAGGCAATGGAAAATTGAAGTAAAGTAAAGCATTAATAATTCAAATGTGCTTGGATCTCCGAGACACATTCGAGTTAAAAGTTTCAGACCAAGTACAAAGAAATTCTACATCGGCAGCCGCCCACAAGTGGAAAACACAGCTGCCAAACTAAGTGCAACTACTTAAAGTAAAAAAAATTAAGAGTTTGTACAAATCAAGGCTAGCTGAAGCAAAAGAAAGGCAAAAGCAGATGCGGTAGAAATAGCAGTTAGGGACAAGTTGATCTACAAGATTCTGTATGCCCAAGTTCCTATGCTTCAGCATTGGCAGTATCAGGCCGAGCAGCTGCACTTGGACTCTTGGAGGCCTTGGCACCGACAAAGGATGAGGCAGGCTGAGCAGGAGCTTTCTTAGAGTCTCTCCCTTTCCTTGTAGCTTCCTCCTCTTCTTCAGCCTCAGCTTCTACTTGACGAGCCATGAAGGCAGCCTCAGCTGGACTGGCCTCGTTCATATGAGCGTCTTGAGGGTCCATGGACCAAGCTTCATCCGAATCCTAGTTAATCTCGGGATTAACATGGAAAGCCAATCGCCAAGCAACCTTGAAGCCATTCTCAAAGCCCTCTTCGTACTGCTCTTGGGTGTAAACCAGGACTTCCAGCAGTTTTTGAGCAGTCTCAAGTTCAACTTGGGTCTGGGCAGCCCCTTCACTCTGAGCCTTCAGTTGGCTTCGCGCATCATTCAGTTCGGCATCTTTGCCTTTCAGCTCATCCCTTAGCCGTTGAATCTCGGCCTCTAGCTTAGATTGCTTCTTTCTAGCTTTGGCTTCGGCTTGGGCAGCCTTCCTCTTGAAGTCCTCGACCATCGTGCGCCAAGTCTCAACCTCCCGTTGTACTCTTTATTCAATTCGGGCCTTGAGGTTGGGAATGTCCGCAGCCCCGTACTCTTGGATCAGCGCATGACCCTCGTCTAGCCAGGGAAGACGGTCTTCTCTAAATCTTGGCAGAAAGTACGGAAACTAGTAGTCATTGACTCCAACTTATCTCTGAGGGCAGAGGCAGCTTCTTCGGCATCTTGCCTCCTCAGCTCGGAAATCTTGGCCTGGCACTCAGCTTCCTCGACCTTCTCTACCTTTGCTTTCAGCTCGTCGTTCATCTCCACAACCAGGAAGTGGTTATGAACGGCCTGCAGAGATGAGGAACAATGATTAGCCGAAGTAAAAAAAAAAAAAAAAAAAAAAAAGAATCGAGAGAATATTGCTCTCGGAGTTTGAGACTTCTGAGCAATGAACTCATAAATTCTTCAAAAAAAAAAAAATAAAGAAAAAACTTAAAAAACTGAAGTAAAAAAGCTTAAGTACAAACAAGTTTACCTGCATCAGCAGCCTTTGATTCTCTGTAAAGGGGTCTGACACCCTAGCAAGTGGCTCGGATGCCCTAGAAGCAGCCCCAAGAGTCCAGGCCCAGGCCCTCTCCAGCTCAGACATGCTGGAGAGGTTGCCGAAGTACTCCGCGGCTGAGTTGCGCCTGGATTCAAAGATGTTTCGGGCATACTCAAGGACAGACACCAGGGGTGCGGAACCGAACCCCATTTCTGTAGACTAAAAAGTCTTGAAGGATTCAGCAGCCGAAGTAAAAGGCAGATCAATGTTCTTGACCTCTTCAGCTTTTTCTTCTATTTCGGTCTCCTTCAGACTATCGGCACCAAGACCCTTGGAGTCTTCTCTCAAAATTTGCACTTCGTCCTCAGGGTAGACAAGCAGTGCATCGGCTTCCCTCCGAACCTCATCAGTAAAAGGTTCGGCCACGTGCCGAGGGATGGAGGGATGAGTCTTCATCAAAATGTCTCCCTCGGCACGAACCTTAGGAGGGGGAGAAGTCTTCTCTTTCTTTTCCTTCGGCTTGTCCTCCTCAAGCCGAGGTTTCTTTGATGGATAGGGGCAGCCAGAAACTGCCCAGGTAGAACAGGATAGGGGCAGCCTGAAACTGCCCAGGTAGAACAACGACCCTTCTTCTCTTTGGGCCAAACATTTCTTCGTCTAACGAATCTTCTGAAGGGGGCTCTACTTCAGCTTGCTCTCCTCTATTCCCTTCTTCTTCGTCAAACTGCAGCAGAAGGAATAAGGGGCAAAGAGCAGTATGACTTCCAAGTTCCAAGTATAAAAAAAAAAGAAAAAAGAAAATTCAGACAAGTCTGGAAGTCTCACCAAAGTCTTCAGCAGACGAGCGTCTTCAGAATCTTCTTCTTCTTCAGCTCCTTCCACTCTTAGATTAGAAGCAAAAGTAGAAGGCCCAGCTCTGCTTCTGAAGACCTCAGTGGCAATAGTTGCAGCTGCTTGCTCTTTAGCGGAAGGAAGAAAGAAAGGATCGACCTTCTCAAACCAAGGCCTCTACGCTTGATCTCAACAGCGCTGACAACCTGAAGCCTCTTCTGGTGAAGGGAAAGGGCCCGATCCTTGGAATCAGTGATTTTAGGGGTGTTGGTGATCCGATTCCTCTCCTGACTATTCCCGAGCAGTTCGTAATCAATGCCCGAGTTATCTTCGTACAGCTCTGTAAAAACGAAGAACTACAGTTAGCTTGGTCGAGAGAAATAAGCATCAGAAAGCAGAAAATAATGAAAAAATTAAATAAAGTTTTCGGCCCCAGCCGAATTGTAATACCCGTATATTTTGTGATTATAAAGTATAAAATACAAATTAAAGATTTCGTATACTTTAAATTTTATCTTCTTATTTGATAAAATTATGTTAAAAAACAAATTATTTATTTTAATATCTCTTTTAATATCAGTTATATATATCTATTAACCCTAATATTTTTTTTCATTAATCTATAATATTGTGTACAGCCGTGGTTCATATTAAAACTTTTACCTTTGCAAATTGCTTCCACGGACCTCTTTGTTTCACGTGCAGCACCTTTGATGACTTTGACTTTGTGATTTCGTTTCATATGCAAGTGCATTAGCAAAAGTTTGAAAAGCATTATATGTGTGCAAAATGTTGTTAATGTGTGATGTTGGTTTCATTGATAAACCTTGGAGTATTATTTTCCAAAAGGTAATCACACAAATTTAATTTTTGATTTATATGTTTATAATCTATTATCTAGTATTCACACTATCAATCTTTTGAATTTGTTTGATCATAATTTGATTGTATTATTTATTATATGTAATCACACGAGATTTTGGAGATGTTTGTATTACATTTCGTATTATTATGTGTGATATGATTTATTGTTTGTACTGTTTGTATATATGATTACTTATTATGATATTGTATGATTTGATTTGATTTGATTTGAATATCATTTTATTTTTGTTGTATATAATTGATTGTACAATTATTTCTAGGGTTTTTAATGGTGTTGCTATAGAGAGTATTGTTTTATTGAGGTTTAGGGTTATTAAATGCAGAGTATTATTTTTGGGTAGTGAATTAATCATATTTGGGAACTAGTTTTATTGGCCTATAAGAGTTGAGATATTTTATAAACTGGAATTGTCGTGTTACATTATTTGGAAACCCGTGCCATTATTGAGATACTATTTCATTAATTTTTGAATGGTTACATGATCGATGTATGGGATCAAAAAGTTGAGAATTATTATTTTGTTCTTAGTTTGAGGCTCGGCGTTATACACCTTAGTCCTTAGCATGTTGGTAAGGAGATAATGATCATGAGTTAAGAATGAGGTACAATCTTTATTTATATTTTTATATGGTCCCCTACAGTGGGATTTGACCCATATTGGTCATGGTTTAAGGTGTTTCTGGTTATTGAGAGTATTCAAGTTTTTATACTTGTTGGTTTGTTATTCGAATTACTCATGTCCAAGGCTAGGTATTGAACAAAGAGCATGGCACACTTATGGGATAGATGAGTTAATTGAGTAAAAGACGTATTATTATTATTCGAGGTTGGATTTGACAAAGGTTATTTTAAGAGTACAATGTGTAATGTAGTTTTGAACTACATTGTTTAATTGAGCTAGTAATGTTAATTATTTTATTATTATTTGTATTCTGATATGTGATGATTACTCAGCTTTTTGCTGACGTGTGTGTTGTTTTGTTGTGCTACTTGTGTTTGCAGCCATGTCTTTTTCTTATGGTGGCCCTGCGACGATCTATTTCGGAATTTGTCCTTAATTGTGAGTAGTCAAGTTTGTCTAAACAGGTTGATCAAGTGATCGTAGCTAAAGGAGCTCAAGTGTCTCGATTAGTATTTTATAATGAGTTTGTAATGGTTTATTAATAGCTCACTTAGATTATTGAGTTGTAATTATTGGGATTTTGTAAGCCTTAGCACTTGACAAGTTGTTGAGTGTGGCAGTAATACCTCCGATTTAGGTGTATGTTTCCGCAGTTTTATTCAAAGGTTGTTTATTTTTCCTTTATTTATTATTTATTATTAACTAGTAAATCGGGGGTGTTACATGAATCCCAAACCGCCTTGGTACTTTCGGCTAAGGCCGACAACAGCGAGTATCTTCTCTTGGAAGAGATAGTGGCAGCAAGGTAGCCAGATGGTAGGCACATTAGCCATTTGGCCAGTAGCTCCATGCATGTGGCTCCTGCCGAAGAGCTCCATCTGCTTCAGATCGACATCAGAGAACTCATCAGGCCCGATGCTGAACATCTTAGATCGGGCGTCCTCAAATATTGGGGGTCGCTGAAGAAATTTGGATGATCCTCGTCTGACGGCGCCCGAACCCAGATCCATTGGCCTCTCCAGTCCTTATCCGAAGTATCATTCGGATAAGTAGAAAGGAACCCCCTTTCATCTCACGCCATGCCATTTATTGGATTGTGTGTTCAGCATCAACTTGTGCATGCAGCGGAAGCAGTGCACACTCGGCTCAAGCCCGTAAAACATGCAGACCTAGTGATAGGTCATTATTCTTCAGATACTTACGTGGGTCAGCTGAGACAAGGAGATGTTATACCCGTTCAGAACCTTGATTATAAGGGAATAGGCAGGAAACCGAAGCCCGTATTGCAGCTGCCGAGTGTAAACCCTAATATATCCAAGTGGGGGGCGATGAATTCTATCCACGACAGTAAGCATTCGGCACTAGTACCCATCCTCTTCCATTATGCCGTAGAATATCTCAAGTTGTTCGGCAAAGTGATAGGTGGCGTTATTTTTGACCCACCATGAATAAGATGCAGTTGCCATGATGCCCTCATTCTCGTGCACGTCAGCCCACTCCCTTTCCTTGGGAGTCAATGGCCTAGGTGCCAAGGCCACGCCTCGGCCAGAGGTGCTAGCACCCTCTGAGACCCTAGGGGGGCATGGTGCAGATCGGCACAGCCCTGATTGCAACCCCCCTCGGGATAGCAGCAGCTCCAGCCCTGGCATTAGGGTTCTGGCCGGTGAGAAGTGGCATCATTGCTAAAGGGCAATTCCGCCTTGGAATCAGTTGCGGCACCTCCTCCTCCTCCTCCTCTTCCTCAACAATTGGTTCAGCCTCCATAGCCTCTTTCACTGGTCACCGGCCATTTTTGAACGGTGGAAGTGCGAGAAAACAGAAAAAGAGGGGTATTTGAAAAAGCAAAGAAAACCGAAGAAACTTCGAAGAAAATTACCTTTGTCGAGTGCGGAATTTGCCGATCTTTGAGTTCGGGGCAACAAATTATATCTTTAAGCTTCGGATTGTTGAGTATAAACGGAAAAAGTAAATCGGGTTAATGGCAGAGATTAGCGAGATGCAAGTATGAATGCGCAAAAGGAAATGAAGAGAAATGTGGGACGAGTGGCTGAAATACCTTCCAGAAGCAAGAATTTTGGGAGTCCGCGCCACTAAAATCCCCACTCATTCCACTTCAATGATTCAATTGTTCACATTCCCCTATCATTAATTGTCCACTAATCCATCCAACTTCCCCATTACTTCCAAAAAATAACCGTTGTTACCTCAATAACCTTCAAATTTAAATTCTAATTAAACATTTACTTCCCTCTTTTGCAAGTCAAAACCTGACCCGTCATGCTTCCAAATCGGGTCTGGGGGGAAAGTTGTTTGGGTCCAAATAATTTCAATTGGGCCGGTCCAAATGTTTTAATTACAAAGCCCAAAAGCAAGGTTCAACTCTCCCCAAAGCATGTCAAGTCAGTCAATGGTCCAGTCAACGTGGCAAGCCCACTTGGTCTAAAGGCCCATTCACCCATTAAGCAAAGGTATAAAAGCCATCAATTGTCTCTCTTTACATTCATTCACAAAAAAGCCTCAAGCACTTAATTCTCTTGCATAACTTTCTCTCTTTAACACTGTACTAATTTCGGCATCAAAGGGGCCTTCCTTGGCACAACCCCCGAGGCCAAATTTACATGTGTTTGCTGTGCAGGTTACCCTCGGCCCAGTCATAACTTGGACCGAGATCAGTCTTCAACCCCAGAAAAGGGCCTAGCTGAAGGTCCTATTGTCTTCAACCGAAATAAAAAAATATACGTAAATAAACACTCTTGAAACTATCAATATGTGATTGACCATATATCCATATGAGAAAAGACATATATTGAAATTCAAAATTAAAATGAACATGAAATATTTGAAGAAGATGACAAAAACATGAACATTTATCAAAATTTTAATAATTGTATGCTAATATGTGAAATTGTGAATGACCATATACTATTAGGTGATTGAACATCTACCAAAATAAAAATAAACATTTATCAAAATATTTTTCCACTCCAAATTATGATAAAGAATGAACATTGTTACGTGAATGACTATGTATTCATATATATGATTGAACATTTATATTATTTATCTATTAATATGTTAATGATAGTATACTAATATATAAATGAACATTTATACAAATGGAAATGAACATTCATAATATAAAAAAATAAATAAAAAAAAGAGAGAGAGATCACTACGAACTAAATTTTATTAATACTTACATTTCTCCATAATCTTTGTGTTTCTTTTCTGAAACTGTTTCCTTCGTTCTGCCAAAAAAAAATAATAATAATAAATAAATAAATAAATAAAAAATTTATTGGTTTAAGTTACTAGTTTTTGAACAAAAATTACTAAAACTATAGTATTATACTTAAATTGATACATTTTCCATGGTTGATTTTTCAATTATGTTCTTGAAATACAATCGCAACAAAAAAATTAGTAAAACCTAAGGTTTATACTCTTTTTCGTTCCAAACTTGAACAAAATAACTTACTCTTTTCGAATTTCGCCTTTGTTTTGATGAATTTTGAAGTGATTGAACAAATTCTTGTGATAATTTGTGATAATTTTGCAATAATTTCTCCATTAAAGCTTTTGAGGATAGAGAAAATGGCTAAAAAATAGGTGAGGAGAGAGAAAATGCAAATGGAGGTTTTGAAGTGTGTGTGTGTGTGTGTTTTTAGGGGGTAAAATTAGTTAGTATCTGTGCAGTGGGTATGGAGGTAGGGGGATTAAACGTAGCGTTTTGATGGGGGGTAGTGTAGGTAGAGCTCCCTACTCTAGGGTGTAGGGATAGATAACTGGGTTTTATGCGTGTGTAGCTAAGAATTTACGGATTTTATGACAGGATATGTGAATTTGTCACAAAGCCCACAACCAAAGCCCGCAAATCAATAAATCAATAGCCACATGTAATAGACACAACTTGTCAAATAATATCTTTTTCTTTCTCAATTATTTTTGTCCCTTTTTCGCGTTAAACCAGTGATCTAGAGTATTAATATTGGACCATAAAATCAGAATTTCAACATCAATTTTTAGGCTCATATAGTGTAATTAAGTATATAATCTCACACTTTAATCTCCGTATTATTTTTTCACTCTCTTCAATATGAATTTAAGCTAAGATTAGTTTGCAACTTTAATTTCATTTATGTGTGAATTCATGTGTTTGGTTATTGTAATTGTACTATGAATTCTTATTAATTGGTTGCCTATAATTAAAAGGGATTCCACTTTTTGTACTCTATTGTTATCAGCTAAAATAATAAAAAGTATAAAAAATCCAAATGGTTCATCAAATGACCCTTTGGTTATTCGTGCAAAAAAAAAAAGACAGCAGATCCTATTACTTTTCACATACTTTCTCCTCCCATTTTTTAATTGTCGTGAATAAAGAGAAACAAGAATTAAATTATGGGACGATAGGAGCAGAGTAAAAAACAAGAGACAGAGTAATTAATGAATACTTTTTCATGTCTAAAAGTTTGACCTACTTTTCATTTTGGGTAATTCATTAAATTTGAATCACATTTACATCATCCTTTTTTTTTCAAACTGTTTATACTATCATACCCATATTATCCCACAGTCACTATATACACTTTTTTAATCAGTGCTTAAATTCTTAATTTATTCACCAATTTTTACATCCACCCACTTTTTGTTATTTTTATCACTCTTATGTTATTCACACTTTTCTTATACTCACTCACCTTGATCTAACTTTCTTAGAACCAATCTCTACCTTTTATAAAATTTGAGAGAGCTCTTATAAATAGTGGACGGACGTTTATACCATAAAACACGTGTTTATATATTTGCCCCCTATTAAAAATTTGAGAAGCTCTTTTATTTTTTCCTAGTACAATGGAGTCACTTGATTCACCCACAATATATATTTATAATTGCCACAAAACGCCTGTATACTCAAATTATATCATCGATATGGTAAAGTTGGACGTGACAACATAATATAACAAAATTACTTCTCATGTAGTATCTATTAATAAATTGAAATTTTGGTACTTTCATATTTATATATATATATATATATATATATATATATATATATAGAATTAAGACTATGTGAGAACCTAGTCCTATAATAGGAACTAGAAACTCATCTGAATTGTTGATCGCGCTCAATCTAACAGCTCACATTCTACCTGCTTCATTAAGGGCATTTTTGTAATTTTATGCGTGGAATGACTTCCGTTCTAACTCATGCGCCGCTTCATTTTCTTTCTCTCTCTTCCTGCGCTTTCTCTCTCTTCTGCAGTTTTTCTTTGCAATTCAATTCTTGAATTTGTTCTTCAATGTTCGTTGCTCGTGATTTCAAGACAAGTATGTAATTTGATTTTGTTTTTCTTTGTTCTTTTTATTCAATTAGGGTTTGTATTTTGAGTTTTTATCATTCGATTTTGAATTAGGGTTTTTTTTTTCTAATTTTTTTCTGATTAATTTGCGTTTGTTTAATCTGAATAATGGTTTTTTTTTTATATATATATTTTATTCAATTTTTCTTTTTGTTTTTTTCAGTACTTCTGATCCCTAATTTAGTTCCTCCCTCATAATTATTCGTTTGGTTTATATATGATTCGATTTTTTGATACTAAATTTGTTTGATTGAGTTTTCATTTTTATTTACCTGAATTTGAGTTTTGTGTTGTTTATATTGTGTGATTTCTCTAAGTTGTGTGTTGTTTGATTTCTCTAAATTAGTATATTGATGTTTATTTGATGGTCAGGCTAAGCCAATTAGTGGTCAAAAATCTAAAGCAGCACTTATATTGCAAGTTTTCTGCTTTATTGCATTTAGTGCTTATGAATCTTGTTCTTGACCTCAAGGTTGATGATGCCTTCCTTGATTCTATTGTGCTTTATATTGTTCTAAAACATTGTCATATGTCTCCAATAATGAAAGAATATAGCTTACTTTTGAGATATTTTGATTGAGTTTTGGGTTTTTACAGTTTACTTTTGAGAACCAAGCACTATTGCACTGCTATTTGCTGCAGGGTATGTGATACTAAGCTAGTAGAGGACTACAAGGAGTATACAATGAAGGTACATAAGCTGCCAGGTGCTGTTGCTAAGCGTCCTTTGGTTACGCAATGGCTGCCCCCCTTCTTCTCCCAGAACGCTTAGCTGCATTTTCTGTTATTCCTGCACTTAAAACTATAGTTCTGCTGCTTTCCACTAATATTTGTAAGACAGTAGGTCAAGTCTCTCTCCGTCTCTCTTTTTTTAGGTGGAAATGAATTATATTGCTAAATTGGTATCTTGATGCTGAAATCATTCATGATTTCTGATTATGAAATATTTGTGACCAACTTGAGCTTGTGGCTTAAAGCTTAGGTGGCTGTGTATATATGAGGAGTGGGCTTTGTAATTCCTACTAGTGAGAAAGACCATAGATTTATCTCCCTAACTTGAGAAGGAAAATAGATTTATCTCCCTACCTTGACATATTGTTCGACAAGCACCCACATTAATAGAAATTTATGTGAATATATGCTATTGCAAGAGCAATTACTTATGGATCAACTAGAGCATTCACGCGTACAGGTACTTCACAGTAGCTAGAAATATGTCTAGGTATGAGCTCTTGAAGGCATTCCACTTCCAATAAAAAACTTATATGCAGTTTCTATAACTTCTATGTGGCTTCTTGCTATTTATCTTTAATAAGTTGACTTGAAAGTTATTTTTTTGTATCTAATGCAGCCTTTTCTTTTTTAATTGTCAATTGAGAAGTACATAAAATGATTTTAGAGAACTTTTGTTGATAAGATCGATAGCTGGCATGCCAACTGCATTGCCCATTTTGATACAAGATAATGTCAAATACTTGTCTCACTCAAGCAACACAAGACATAAATATTGAACATCTATAGCACACTCTATTGTCACTGTTATTTTTTAAAGTTTCTTTAAATGCAGGAACACATGAACTACAACATCAACAATAATGAAGAAAACATATACTCTATGTAATTTTTACTTACTTTTTGAGATTTTTTATTTACTTTTGAGTTATTTAGCTTTACTTTGACATTGCCACATAAATTTCAAGTTTAGCTCTGAACAATAGTATAAATATCATTTAACCCCAGCTCTGCATTGTTCAGATCAATCTGCTTTGCTTAGAAATATTTGGAGTGGTAGTTGCTGCACTTTGAATGGGATTTTTTTATTTATTACTTTTGATATACTTTGGTTTACTTTTGAGTAATTTTTCCTTACTTCAAATGTTTAATGTACTACAATTAGCCTACTAACTCAATATATTTACTTTTGAGATTTTTTTTTTTATTTTTTATTTATTTATTTATTTATTTTTTATATTAGCTCAGCTACGTGAGTAGCAAGAAATAATCCAAAACCCCAGTAATTATACAATATAGATTTTTGTTTGAACTTAAGATATAAATTTAGTTTTGAGAGTTGAGCATGGAAGAGTTGGTTAATGTTGCCTTTTGTTGTGGTGAAGGATGATGATAATGCAATTGAAGGGGATTGAGGTGTATGTAAGGAAGTTGCATGGAGGAGTTTTGAATCAGGGTAGTGGTTGAGTGCTGCTGCCCTGCCACGACTACTGCTGCAGCTGCTGCCCTGCCCTCTCAAGTTTCCATTTGTAGATTCTCATGAAACATGGATCACTCGTCTCTCTAGAACCTCCATGGCTTCTAAACTGGAAATTTCATCTGATCTTAGCAACTGATTTTGAAGTTGCTGATGTTGTCTTTGCTCATTTTATTATTGTCAACTTTATATACACTAGCCTACTAGCTCAAGAGGTAGAGCATTGTGTAAATGCACAAAAGATGTGGGTTCGAATCCCACGTAGGTTCATTTGTATTTACTTTAAGAGATATTTTATTTACTTCAACTTATTTTGTATTTACTTTTATTACTTACAAACTCAAGCTCACTTATCCAAGGATTAAAGGTATGACAGAAGGTTTTATCACTTATACTAGATATTTAAGCATTCATAGCAATTAGAGATTGTCAATAAGCATTTCTTCATAGCAATTTCCTTATTTTAGAAGTAGAGAAGGTGAATTTCATTTCTATTTACTTTAATAAATATTTTATTTACTTTAACTTATTTTGTATCTACTTTTATTACTATAAACTCAAAGTCACTTATCTAAGGATTAAAGATATAAACATGTTGGTAAACTAATACCCTGCTTTTTCTTTTTAGCAATGTGCACCCTAGACTGAATAGTTGTGAGTAGATATAATTTACTTTTAAATAAATTCTATTTATTTTTGAGTTAATATTATTTACTTTAAAGTAAATACTATTTACTTTTAATTCAATTATTAGCTATTTTGATATACTTTAGAGATGTTTTGAATTACTTTAGAATGTTTTGTATTTACTTTTAGAGGTAACCTATGTAGGAATCGAACCTACATCTTTATGCATCCGCATAGTGCTCTACCACTTGAGCTAATAGGTTTATTTTAGAGTTTTTATTCACTTTAAATACTTTTTTATTTACTTTAGGCAACTACTATAGGAATCTACATTTTCCAACCTTATTCATCTCTTGTATTTTCAAATCTAATGTAAACCAAGATGAGCTGTTAACAGCCACACTAACGTGAGAATTCCCCGCCTTTGCTTTATTGCACACCATGGGACTTGGGTGAGCAAAGCATAGCAGCATCACATAACAGCTCCACCCAAACCTTGCTTGTTATCTCCCATTGAATGTCACCGAATGTTTTTAGATGCTTTGTGAGAAGACAAGCATCTAGAGCATAGATTTTCTCTTATCAAACTTAGCTATCATAGGCAGAAACCTCTGCTTGCTTCTTATGGACCTTAT